AAAATAACTCACCTGTTCAATGCACAGTTAAGTAAATATTTAAAACTGGACTAGCTTTTTACAATTCATGTTAGCGAGCATTAAAGGTGAAATAAAGCCAAATGATTCAAGAGAACCAATGAGGGTTTTACCTAAAAACTTACCATGGGCACTCTGTACAAACCTACAATGGTTGAGATGGCAATACTACCTGTGGAGGAAGAATCCCCCACGATCGCTACGACTGGAGGGATGCCTACACAGGTCTCATCTAAAATAATTTCCTCCACTTGACCACTGATTAATGCCAGGGCTGCACGAAACCCAATTCCAAGAGTGAGGCAGTTGTCATACATGCTGAACCCCAGACTCACGTTGGGTAACAGCTTAGGATTTCTGTTGATCTCATCAATAGCAAAGGCCATGGTCTGGGCCTGTCTAATTCCTAGAACATCAAAACTGACAAAGAAAAAAAGAAAGTTTTGCACATAAAAACACAACAACATTATAATAAAGCCACAAAAAGTGATCCTAATGTATAAATTACAACATCAACAAAAATCCAATAAAATGTTTCAAATGACCAGTTTTTTTTCCTTCCTTTTACATAATCTCCATTTAACTCACCCATAACAGGTAAGCTGTTCTGGCGCAAAGTTAAAAGACAGGTCTGGAAAAACGCAGAAGAAATGAACTTGAAACAGCCCCCCCAGCATCACGTCTCCAGGTTTATGCATCCCATTTAGATGAAACTGCCCCCGCAACAGACACGAGGTGGAGTTCAGAGAGGAGGATGCAGCAGAAGAAACAAACCAGTGTGACCATGAAAGCAGGAGGAAGCATGCGAGTTTAATGGGCTGCATGAGATTCATCTGGTTGACTCGTTTTCTGAGCCCAGTTAATATGTTTTTTATTTCCTCATCCATATTTATGGACCTAATACCTGTCATTTAATGTGGGAGGAGCAATATTGTTGTTGCTCTTGTTTGAGTGCGTTTTTGTTTTTCTGCACTAACTACATCTCATGAACCACTGAATAGATTTTAATGACAACTCTCAGAAATAAATCATTGTGTCTTTATAACTGATTAACGTGTTGTCATGCAATTCTTTATGGGTTCAACAGCAAACCAACCTTAGTCTGTACAAAATGTGAATAGCTGAGTGAATTTTCCAGAAAATGAGCAAACATTTGGTGTGGTTTGGTAAAATCTGTCAGTCATTCACAACGCAAATGCCAAGCTCAGACATATCATACAAGATCTCTTAAGACGTAGCAACTTTACATGAGGCTGTGCATGATGTTATGTTTAAAATGGCTGCATCATTGCCATTTTTCTACTTTGTACATAAGATGATTTTAGTTGAAGTCTGCATAAAAACTTTAGAAACTTCTGCTTTTCAGACAATAAAATAGCAGTGGAGACTATTAGCTTAAGTTTTGCTGCTCCAAGAAAGAAAGTAAACAAGGTCACAGTGAAAAAAGTTCATTATCATCCTTGTGAATATTATTTTCATCTCTTTCAACAATTATCAGTTATGGTGACAAGGATATTAGCAATAGTTTTTAAATTAATTTATTAATTTTTGTATTGTCTGCACATCTTTGCAAGATCCTCCATTAGTTTCATGACCTCCATTAGGGCCCCAACACCAGCTGATTATCTTATTAACGCACATCAGTATAATAATAATAATAAAAAAAAAGTCCAATAGATGGTACCATCACACCACGACATTTACTCTAAGAAAGGTTTTCCTCTCCTTGAATAAAATTTTGACTTTATTTATTTAACATACTTCATATATATATATATATATATATATACACAAACCGGATTCCAAAAAAGTCCAAAATGCAATGATGTAGAGGTGACAACATCTAATATTTTATTCAGAATAGAACACAAATCACAGATCAAAAGTTTAAACTGAGAGAATGTATCATTTTAAGGGAAAAATCTGTTGTTTCCAAATTTCATTGCGTCAACAAATCCCCAAAAAGTTGGGACAAGTCCATTTTTACCACTGTGTGGCATCCCCCCCTTCTTCTTACAACACTCAACAGACGTCTGGGGACAGAGGAGACCAGTTTCTCAAGTTTAGAAATAGGAATGCTCTCCCATTCATGTCTAATACAGGCCTCTAACTGTTCAATCGTCTTGGGCCTTCTTTGTCGCACCTTCCTCTTTATGATGCACCAAATGTTCTCTATAGGTGAAAGATCTGGACTGCAGGCTGGCCATTTCAGTACCCGGATCCTTCTCCTACGTAGCCATGATGTTGTGATTGCTGCAGAATGTGGTCTGGCATTATCATGTTGAAAAATGCAGGGTCTTCCCTGAAAGAGATGACGTCTAGATGGGAGCATATGTTGTTCTAGAACCTGAACATAGTTCTCTGCATTAATGGTGCCTTTCCAGACATGCAAGCTGCCCATGCCACAAGCGCTCATGCAACCCCATACCATCAGTGATGCAGGCTTCTGAACGGAGCGTTGATAACAACTTGGGCTATCCTTGTCCTCTCTGGTCCGGATGACATGGCGTCCCAGTGTTCCATAAAGAACTTCAAATCGTGACTCATCTGACCACAGAACAGTCTTCCATTTTGCCACACTCCATTTTAAATGACCCCTGGCCCAGTGCAAACGTCTGAGCTTGTGGAGCTTGCTTAGAAATGGCTTCCTCTTTGCACTGTAGAGTTTCAGCTGGCAACGGCGGATGGCACGGTGGATTGTGTTCACTGACAATGCTTTCTGGAAGTATTCCTGAGCCCATTCTGTTATTTCCTTGACAGTGGCATTCCTGTTTGAGGTGCAGTGACGTTTAAGGGCCCGGAGATCACGAGCATCCAGTAGAGTTTTACGGCCTTGACCCTTACGCACAGCGATTGTTCCAGATTCTCTGAATCTTTTGATGATGTTATGCAC